ATCCCCGTCCTTCTCTGTGTCCTTTCCTCAAACATCCTCTTTACTTCTGCTCTCACTTTCTGTAACCCATTGTGTGCTTACCTGAGGTGGTATGCTTAAAAAAAATATTTTATTAAAGTTGTTTTCTACCTCCAGGGCCGTGGATCCAGTAAACGGTAGTCAAGATACATACGTAAAAGGAAGATAGTTTAATATGGAATAAATATTTTTCTGTGCGATATTGAAAATTCCCACAAAAGTCAAACCTATGACAAATTTTGATATTTAGAAACAATTTCAATTCCTCTATATCGTTCTATTCGCTATATTCAATTTTATAGTTATCTTTCTAAAAAAAAAAAAAATACCGGTATTTTTTAATCAATTCAGACCAAGCAAGGCGATAATGCCACTAAGATGCAAGGGGCTAATGGGAATGAAAGACAATGAAAAGGAACTGAAAACCCAATCCTAAACAGATAAACCACTATTCCTGTTCAAAAGAGCGGTGAAGAGTGTGAACTGGAAGATAGGCAAACCTATCTGCTTCTATTGTGGAGAATCAATAAATAGTTAATAAATAAAATTTCAGTGTTCAGGCGGAGACTTTAGAAATATACAGTTGAAGTAGACTTTAGAAGGAACCGTAAACCGAATCAACAAGGGATAAACCTCCAATCCTGATCAAAAGACCGGAGAGGAGAGTGAAGCAAGCCTTTTGCAAATTCAATTCTACCACGTTTTAGCATTTTTAGTATTCAATTAAAGTTTATTTGTTGTTTTTGAAAACATTCCCAAAACATCCTGGGGACCAATTTTGCTTTTATTCCTAAGTCACTAGTTCGTTTTACGTAATTTTTTTATTTTAGTTTTTTTATAAAAACTTTAAATCTAATCAAATATACTTGAATTTGCTGTTCAGTTGATTGCTGACTCCTTGTATGACTAATTTCATTATGCAAGTCGTTTTCCAAATAGAATTAGAGTGTATCGATTGATATTAGTTAAAGTTTTCAGGATCTATTTATTCCAGTCGAATTCATTACATTCACTTACATGCTTAAAACATAGGAAAAGGTATGAATCCATCTCCTCATCCCCCAGCAATGAGTAAATAACAGGACAAATTGGATTCTATATATCCTTTGTTGGCAACCGGTCTAGGAGAAAAAAAACTCTGAATTCAAAACTGTATATAGCCCTGGCGAAGCAGATATTATGCAGCTAGGGAAAGGATCGTTCGCATTGATCCGATGATCCCGACTGCTGTCGATTGATGTGCAATATATCACGTGAGTTTCACCTTATAATATCCATCTTTATTAAAAAATATTATTGTTAACGTCTCTTGAAGGCATCGAATTTTATTATGCAATATGCAACATAAATTTGTATTTATAAATAAATATATACCGTGTGTAACAGCAAAATTGTTCAAATCATTAACAGCATAATTGTCCATCCCACAAAATGTTTAATATCTAAAAACAATACTAAACTAATTGAGTTACCTTTTTCCAGGTTTTCAGCCTACTTGACGCCATTTGTTGTAGGAATCACTGAAAAACCCGTTGAGTTATTCACTTAGAGAACAGGTTAAAATCGTTTTGTGTCAGCCCCACTGTTTTCCCAAATGATCAATGGTGAGAGGAAAAAGATCATTCAGGCATTTCTTTAGCAATGGTACCATCTTCCATCTTCAAAGTCCATTCAAGAACCATCAAAAGAATGGTGAATAAGTTTAAAAAGAGGGAACAGTAGAGAGGAAAACTGGGTCAGGAAGTCACAACAGGAAAAGAGATCATCATTTCAATTTAGAGCTAGAAAAGATCCAACTCAATCTATAAGACATTTGGCACATGAGAGAGGAGTTTCAGCTATGACAGTCCAAAAAGTAGTGAACAAAAGACTTGAATATGAAATTGTACATGAAACCTGCCAGGCATCTTGTTACTTCAGGACGGAAAGTTTAAAAGGGCAAAGATCATCTTGAATAAGAAATAAGTTGGAAAATGATCCTGGAATAATATATATATATATATATATTTAATTCAATTTAATTCAAATAATTATATTGAAGATTTTGGCTCTTGTTTTGAAACATGAGAACTCTTATGTAGCGATGGAATCATATTTTTAAATAAATAATTATATATATATATATATATGAATTTTAATTAAATACTTCATGAGCTTCTGATGCTTAGCTATGATTAATTAATGATGAACGTCATTTTTGTTTATGATCGATTTCATCACCATTCTTCTAAGCTTGAAGAATAATTTTACATTCTTACTGCTCAAAGAAGAGTCCAATAGTGTTATAAAAACCTCAGAGAATTCCAGTAAGATATCTTTAATCATTTCTATGGTGTGTGTATATATATATATATATATATATATATATATATATATATCATTTGACCATATAACTGAAGAAAATATTATTTTACATGTTAATATGACTTCCTAGAAGAAGAAATAACAATAATCATAGCAGCAGTCTTAATCTGTCTTTCAATTATTGGTTTTCTTAATTTATACTGTTTCAATATTAACATTACTTGCAGCAGATTTTATTGGTTCCCAGAGATCTTTGCTTGAATATTGTTTTCCATTCTTGCATACATCTCTTTTATTGATGGCTCATAAAATCTTCATTTGATTAATATCTTGAGAGGCTGGGAACCATTCCATTAATTTGATGTTTTTAAAACTTTTTTTAGCATGGTTGACAGTAGTCCTCTTTGCAAAATATTATGGAGGATTGTCTTGCATAAGCATACTTTAGCATAAAGCTTCTTGTTTGTGCCTTGTATCAGTCTAAGAACATCATCTAACAACTTATAATAATTCTATACATTTATCTCAACATCATCAATAATGAAAGGACCTATCATTTTACTGTCCTTTAACTCAAATTATTCCACTTTGTCTCTGTTGTCTAAGTTGGGTTAGTTGTCTATTTCCATGGACAAAACTTTAGTCCAGTCATCAGGACTATCTAGAGTCATCACTAAGAATTACTGTTGAAAAATAATTTGCAGCAAAATTTAACATATGTACCTGCAAAAAAAAAAAAAAAAAAAAAAAAAAAAAAAAAGTGTGTCAAAAGAACATTTTTTTCTCTTGACACTCCAAAAATTGACAAGAGTAAGCACATTATACTCCCTTGGCAATTTTGGGATTTATGCATTGTCATTTTTCTTGAGACTTTACAACAAAAGAATTAAACACTATTTATTTTATTAGATTGTTTATTTACAAGAATAAATTTATCTTCTCAAGTTTATAAAAATATATAGACCAACTACAATACAATAATCATCTTCCATATTATAAAGAAATGTTTTTTTTAGTCATAAATTTAGAAAACTGTTTGTGAAGAAGGGAAAATGAAAACATAAATAAACACATAACTATAAGTAAATGTAATTATAAATTTTGAATGAATGCATTTCCCAGGTATTTCTTTCATTTGTTCCTATCAGAAATTCACTACAATAAGTTGCGAGCAAATGGATTTATACTTTTTTTCTCAGAAATTTACAACAAAAATGTAAAAAATTTCTCTTTGTGGAAGTCGGGTTACTTTCATGTTTTTCACCAATGTTCAGTATTATATATTTTTCTGTTAAATTCACAGCACCAACTTCAAATATGTCCTTGTTGGACAATTCACTTTTCTTGATTGTTACCCTTTTATTAATCAACACTTTCTTTAACCAATATGAAAATGAACTGTTTATACCTCCAAGAAATTTTCTGAAAATTTACATTTTTAGCTTTAATTTAAAAAATGTTTACTATCCTTACACTGTAATTTTAAAAAATGTTGAAAGAGCTGAAGAAACAGTTCAATTCTCATTGCTAAGCACTTCTTTTAAAACAGTCTTTTTTTAATTTTGAGATAATTTCTATCAAGAAAAAGATTTACTGTATACAAAAAAAAATCAAAATTTCTTTTTGTTTGTATAGCATTTTCTTAAGAGTCATGTGTTACTTTTACTCATTACTCAATGAAATGAAGATAATGTAATTGAAATAAACTAAACATTAAAGTTTTGAGCACTTAATTTGGGTTACAGTTATCAGTAGGATTATCTGTTTAACTAAATAATTATTTAAAAGAATTACATTACAAACATGAAAACATGCACATTCTCTCTAGAATATTATTTAATAGATAATATCTATTTTTCATTCTCTTTCTTTTTCATATATTTTATCCCCATTAAAAATTTGGTGAATAGGAAGTTTTTGGGATGTCAGGTATCACCAAAATGAATGATGTAGTTGGTTTTATACATGTTGGTGGTCACCAAAATGATGTGGGTGAAGAGGTTGTTTTCCTTATAGATGCTGGGGTTACCAAAATGATGGGGGTCACAGCAGCAGAAATTAGCCTCATGTTCACAGAGATAAAAACATATTTGACAGGAAATAAAACATACAGAAATAATAGGAAAGAATGGTAAATTGTATGCTAATTTCATACAATTTATTTTTTTGTATCCTGGTGTGTGTATTTTTGTTTGTAAATGTTTCGTGGTACATGTAATGAAAGGAAGAAGTTACTACGTAATGTAAACTGTGTCACAGAGAGAGAAGTTGCACATGTGTTGCCTGTTCAACATCTATTGGCGGGATGTCTGTATTTTCTGCAGGAAGTTTTTGTTGCAGTATTTTCATTTTTTTTATTTATTTTATACAAAGTTTAAATGTTACTGTTTTATTTTATTTAGAATATTTTTTTTTGTATAATTGATTATTAATTTTTAACAAGTTTGTCTTTCATCTTAATTTTAGTTGTTTTTTTTTGGTGCAGCTTTCATTGAAGCTAAGAATGTTCTTATATTTCACTGTATTGTTCTATTTGAACGTCTTAAACTTTCTTATGTAATTTTTTCTTCTGTTGAAATTCATTTCCAGATTAACATATTAATAAACTATATGTAAATGTGTTCATGTAATAAGTTTTGCTTTGTGTGAAGTGTTTTTGTTATTTTATTCTTCTGAAGAAAATAAAACTAGCCCTAAACCAACAACCATGTGGCCATATTGGTCAACAGAAACATCTACTATTCAATCAAGCAAAACGACTTGGCCAGGATCTTCAGGTATTGAACTTTTCTGAGCTGGCATCTCAGATATTTAGCATCACTCTAATTGCTTGATGTCTCTGCTCAGTTTTTTAAGCTTCATAACAATAGCGCTATTATTATTTTTCAGCAATGAAAAACTGCATCCTTCTGTAATTTATCTTTTGCAATTGTTTCCTTGCAGCTTTGTAATCACTATTGGTAGCAATTACCCATTTACAATAAGTACTAATAAGTACTAATAATACAGCTACAAGAATCAAATTATAATGGCTAAATTAACATGCAACACAAATGGATTTATTGTTTTGGAAAAATAATTGGAAAGTTAAATGTTTTGCTCTGTAAATCACACACTGATAATAACTGTACTATGATTAACCAATAATTTAGCTAATGTGTAAACTGGTCATTAATGATCTTTGCTTGGTGTTTGAGTTCCTCTGCATATATAAGGAGGTAGTCATGGATGTGTAAAATAACACTTTAGGAATACATGAATGCAAAAGTCCAGAGAATTTATTTCTTACATAAAATTTGCAGAGCATACAAAAAACAAAAATATTTTTTAAATATTCTTTCTGCAAAAATTTGTCCAGCTTAAATATTCACAGTAAATATCAAGTTGAAAAATGTTCTTAGTTTTTAGACTGAAGCTTCTAAGATATTTTTCAAATATAATGAAACAAACCGTTAAAAATGAATATCCTGTTTATTAATAATATAGGTTAGTCAGATTTGTTTTCCAAGACATCTTAAACTTGAATAATTTATTCAATCAAATTATATCAAGAAAATTAGGCTCAAATATGATGTATGACAGCTTGTTTTATAAAGGCTTTCAGCATAACTGCATATTAATGCTTCTAACAATTACTCATATTTGTAATGTAAACAATAACATTCAATAATTTTCCCTATTTTAACTAATTCATGTAACTGTTTCATTTAGATATTAAAACATCTTCACAAATAATATATTTAATAGATAAAACTATACTTTGAAAACAACTTTTTTTTATTTAGAACAGTTTCTGCATAGCAAACAATTTAATGGATAACACCAAATTATAATCAACTCAAATATATTGGAACCATATAAAATTCTATATTCCCAAAGAAGTTGGCATATGAAGAATGGATTTGCTCTAAGTTCACAGGATTTTAGGCTACTCTAGCTTTTATTTTAGAAACCTATTCATTGTATTTGCATTGATTCCAAATATACATTTTGGAAACTTAAAAACCCAAGTCAAAACTGAAAAGCACTTCAACTACAGCAATCTAGGTTATTTAACAGGACGTTCTTTGTTTGAGAAGCTAATTAATCTTGCCTATTTCATAGACATGGAGTTAGACAGTTGCAGAGAAGTCAGAGAGTAGAGTAAAAGTTAAATGCACAGCAAAAACTGGCATGCCCCATTCAAAAATTGTACATGAGAAAAAAATCCATTACGAAAGTAGACACCACTAGCCTTACTTAACAGACAGATGTCTCTCAGTACCAGAAAGATAGAAAATGAATGATTGGGACAAAACAGCCCCATAGCTGTTGTACAATTTCACCTCTAATTAATTTGTTGATAATTTTTCCAGTATCGTTTCTTCTGTTGGCACATTTACGCTCTTTTTCAGCAGGATTGCCTGATGTCGAGGAAACAGCGATCAAAGTCTCACTCAGATCAACAAAGTCACGGCTCGTGATTTTCTCATGGGAAAAAATAGATTAACTTCATGACACAAATCCTGGTGAAAGAAATGAACTAGTGAAATTGATTACACTAAACACAGACCCACCTTCAACCAAGTGTAACACCCTGATATTATAATTTGAAATCTAAGCAGGAGTGTTGTATTTTGTACAGGTTATGTTAGGTGGTTAAGCCCAAGGTTTTGGTTATATATATTCATTGGTTTTCTCTTCCTTTGAATTTTATGATTTTGATTTCTTCTTGTAAGTTAATCCAAGCTTATTCATTTTCCAGGTAATTTCTCTCCATCAGAAAAAGATGTGTTCCATAACAAAAATAGAAAAAGGAACAATACTTTATCCACAATTACTTAAAGCCTGGAAGAATTATCTCTAATGTTCACCATTTCCATGTCTTGATTAACAAAATATTTTATCAAATATGAAATGAAAGTGTTTATTCTGAATATAAAATTGTTTACTTCCTTCTATATATTCATTTGCAAAAACCCTAAATTTTTATAATTGCAGATAATTGTTGTTATTTATCTAAAAACAATTTCATATTAAGCTTGGCAAATAATCTTGGATAATTTTCATCTTGGTTGAAAGAGACAAATGCTTACTCTACCCAGAATATTCACCTGTTATGATTTGCACTATGGTTCAATCATTTTTTACCTCTGTCATTTGTGACTTATGACTTTTATGCTGACATCAAATGTCATGTTCTTAAAAGAAGGTATTTACAAATTAGAAACATTTTGAATCTGTAAAGTTTTTGAATATTTATGATAAATCATTAATTCTGGAAAATATCCAAGTTTAAAATGTTTTTGTATTACAAATGTCAACCAAAGATTTTCACTGTGAATGAATGTCCACTTATTTTTGTCTTGGCTAGGTACTGCTGTATTCAAGCATTCAATGATGTCCACTTTGTCACTGATGATGCTTATCCTGATGGTACTGACATAAATGCACTGAGAATTGGCTTTTGCAATGATGAAACATCCCAGAAAGAAAGAAGTGTCCTTATTTTTTGGCCTTTCTTAAAGAATTAATTTTTATTTATTCACAATACATTAGATGAAATTAGAAAAAAATTTGCTTTATTCTCTAATTTTTTATTAGTTTTTTTATCTTAAAACTTCACTCAATAAATTTTTAGTTGCACCTAATGCTTGTATGTGAAGGAACATTAATCAACTGTAAAGACAAATAAAATGAAATTAGATTTGTCCTCTAATGCAAAATATTGTAAAACAATGATACTATTTGAACAATTCAAAATTGATAGAAAACTATATTAGGACAATCATTATTATTATACATAACAGGTAAAGTGAAAATGAATTGGTAGAATAGAAGTAGATAAGTGCTTAAAAGAATAAATGCAAGTCATAGGCTGCTGAAACTACATAATAGTTCAATTCAAGTAATAAAGAAAAAAAGCATTCCTATTTTATGCAAAATCTGTGTGTGTGTATATATATATATATATATATATATATATATATATATATATATATATATATATATATATATATATGTATATGTAGGTACCTCCAAAGATTCACTAAAAAATGAGCATACATGATGAAAAAAGTGCACCAAACTTAGTAAAAAAAAAAAAGTTTTATCATCAAAATCTTTGTTATTAAGAGGAAAGGCCATAATTATTAAATTATATTTTTTATCCTATTTAGAACATTCAAAATTTTGGTTAAAAACTGTTTGTCTTGCATCAGTGGGTGACCATAAATAAGTATAGAAAATTTTAGCATGCTTTTGACTGTAAAACACAATGATTTGGAAATTCTTTCAGATTTTAATATAACTTTCAGGACTTATTCACAAATGAATTATTTTAAAAATGTTTTTTTTAAGAAAACACTACTAAAAAATTTTTTTCTGTTAACCCCTGCTATTTAATTTTATGAAAATAATTTTTATGGCTTGTATTAATTATAAGAACTCCTTGGAGAATTTAAATCAGCAATTATTATTTTGTAAAAATGTAATAAAATTAAAACATTATTTAATTAGAAATGCTTTTAATTGTTTTTATGAATAAAATATAGTATGGAGTATTGTCTTAAGAAAAAACTTTTTTTCAATAGTGAATTTTTACAAGAATTTTCATTTTTTTTTTTTTTTTTTTTTAATTACAACAATTTATAAAATTTTAAATCTTTTAAAATTCTGTATTAATTTGTACAGGTTAGATTATATTAAGTAAATACTATATTTACTAATCATAAATGTGAAAGCTTACTAGGAGTTGCTAAATTGTAGTATTTTAAGAAGAATTTTGAATTTTTTGTGGGTGTATAACATGCCAATTTTTGTAAATATGGACATCCATGACATCACAAAATAAGAGCAGTAACTATAGCAAATTTAAAGTCAAAGTACCTAAAATTCAATAAAACATTAGATTGTGGAGAATATTTTCCTAAATTTTTAAGATTACTGGGTAACTGAAAATTGTATAAAAACAAAAGGTGGTCATTTTATATTCAAGTAAATTTTACAGATATGTCTCCTGTAGAAAAAATTAAAAGTTAAATTTCTGGTTGTCAATAAAACTACAAATACCTACCTCAATGTTAAAAAATGTATTTTTGCAATATTTTTTCTAACTAAAAGTAATATTTGTTTAAAATCAGATTAATTAAAATTTAAATCAGCTAATATTCCTTAAATCAATATTTTATTTTTTTTTTTTTTTTTTAAAGATTTTATAATGTGCTGACAGATGACTAAAAAAAAAAAAATAAATAAAAATTTTCCAATATCCAGGTATGACATTTTCTTTGGAGGTACCCATATATATATATATATATATATATATATATATATATATATATATATATATATATATATATATATATTAGTTTATTATTTACATTATTCGGACTATTGTCCTCATCTTTTGTCGCCATATTCATTACAACGTTTTTGGCCATTGTGCGCCCAGCTTTCTTCAGGTGGTTGGAATGTCGAACTGAACCCTTTATTTCACTCACTGGGGTAGACTGTTCTAGTTCCACGTTTCCATGTTTAATGGATGTCAGTTATCAGTTATCTCCTATTAATTTCCTCTGAAATTTCTCCACTGCCTTAACCGGGTATTGAACTCACACTCTTTGGGTCCCATCACGGGATCTAACCAACGCATATCAATACCCGGTTAAGGCTGTGGAGAACTTTCAGAGGGAAATTAACAGGAGATAACTGATAACTGACATCCATCAAACATGGCATGTGGAACTAGAACAGTCTACCCAGTGAGCGAAATAAAGTGTTCAGTTCGACATTCCAACCACCTGAAGAAGGCCGGAGCATACGACAGCCAAAACGTTGTAATGAATATGGCGACAAAGATGAGGACAATAGTCCAAATAATGTACATAATACGTCATCTCAGAAATATAGACATATATTAGTTTAAATCAAAAAAATTAATAATGGATATTTTTAAAATACTGTGCTTTCAAGAGTTAGGTAGTTTGTCATACATGCCAACTTGTGAGTGTAATGAGTTCAATACTTATTTGTGGCTTTGTGGTATTTTTGAGATCTTAAGTAAATTAAATTGCATTTAATTTTTTTTTTTTTAATGCAAAAACTATTTTCTGTTTTCAAAATTGAACCAAAAATCCAATAACAAACATGAAAAAAAAAAAAAAAAAAAAAAACTTTTCCAATTAAGCTGCACGTTATTAACATGGATACACTTATCAATCAGAATAATGTATATATTGTTGCTGAACAGTAAGGACACTATGTTTAATAAACAAAAGAAAAATATAGCAATATCGACTTATATTACAATATGTAAGCGAAAAATTAGTCTCTAAAAAGCCTACATGAATTGTTTTTAATGAAAACTGATTGAATGCATAGAATTTTCATTGATCAAAAACATGAAGCTCTATGCAAAATTTACCTCAACTCCACTGTTGAAAATGGCTGTTTTCTCTTACAAATATTAATGAAATAATGTTAACAGTTATTCTTTAATGCTACTGAAATACAAAGATGGTAAATTTTTATCTAAATTATGTAACTCTGTTCAACTGGTTCAATTTGTTATGATTTATAATATGATTTCTGCATTTAAAAATAAAAGCTTGATTCATTTATTTTTTTTAATTTTTTTGCTGTTTCGAGGTCATTTGCCATTGAAAAGCAGTGTACATGTCTGTCCATCCATTTTTCAATCTTGGTGAATCATAAGCTACCTGAAATAACAGGTAGTAACTACTGTAGTTACATACAATTAAAAATTAAATAAATGACTTAAAGTTACCAAACAGAGTGAAAGGTTTAAAAATCATCTTTTTATTAAAGGTTTAACTTTAATTTCACTTTTCATCGCAACTGATATTGTCTAAAACTGTAATTAAAACTTAAGCAGGGTACAGTACATTGCTTATATGGTTTCTTTCTTTCTTTTTCTAGCACACGTACTATGACGTATTCAAAATATTATATAGTTCTGGTTACCTAAAGTCTTTTATGAGTGACTTTATGTGAAGGAATCATAAAGAATGGTGATTTTAAAAGAAAATAAAAATTGTGCACAAAATAAATGTAAACAAACTATGGAGATTGGCTGCATATACAAAGAAAGATTATGTCAAATTAAGGTGTCGAATAAAGATAAAATAATTTTATTTCTAAATTCTTATAACTTTACACTGAAGGTAAGAGGCTCAAAAGCTCTCTGCAGGAGTTAGATTAAGGTCTGCCCAAAGGAGAGCGACTAGATACAACTCCCAAGAACACTGAATACTTTGAACTTTATAAAAATATACACTATGTTGATACAGCTGGAGGCTAAACTAGTGAAGACTAAACTACTAGAGAAATATTAGTGAATACTTCTAGCTAATTATAGTTTACAACATACTATTCACTACTAATTTTTTGGCTTTGGATATCAACATGGACAGAGTACTAAAGCATAAAATTCTGGATATTCTAGATAAGATCTTCAGGACAAAGAAAATATAGAATCACTGGTACCAAATGTTTTTAAACTTCCACAAGCATAAACCACTCCCCAGTAGAAAAAGAAGCTAACATGATCATCAATACAATCAGAGAATGGAGTCATTACCTGAATGCTAAATATTTTAATATAAAAGCCCTATCCAGCATTTTCAATAAGCACAAAGTTCATCGCTGGCAAACTGAACTTTCCACTTACAAATATGGTATCAGATATAGATGTGTTAAAGAGACTACATTGCGCTTGTCATAAATAGCAACCTTAAAGTATCATATAATAATCTATGTCATCCTGGAGTATCAAGAATCATGCACAGGTTGAGAAACTTGCCCTACTCAACAGAGGAAGTAAAGAGAATGACTGAAAAATCTAATGCGTGTGCTGGAGAAAAGCCAAGATTTGTGGCAGATTAATCAAAGCCACTCAACACTTAAAAAGATTGAATATAAATTTTAAGGGACTGCTTCCTTCAAATCAAGGAGGAAGTATTTATTGACTATCATTGATGAATATAATCATTTCCCTTTCACATGTAGGGACATGCTCACTACATCTGTATTGACTTGCTTAAGTAAATTATTTTGCATATTTGGTATGCCAGGTGATATACTCTGATAGAGGAACTAGTTTTATATCAGAGTAGTTAAGATTTTTTTTTCAAGAGAAAGGAATAGCTACTAGTAGATCTACTGTGTACAACCTACAGGGAAACAGTCAAGTGGAGAAACCAAATGGAACTAAGTGGAGAATGATCAACTTATTAAAATTGAGAGCATCAATGAGAAACCATTTTATCTGATGCTCTCCACTCAATTTGTTCCTTATGGTGTACAGCCACAAATTGCACTCCTCATGAACTGGATGTTTTCTTATCCAAGAAAATCTATCCCCAGAAGATCTTTTCCTTTGTGGTTGACAATTCTTGGGAAAGTGCTCATGAGAAACTACATTCAGA